GGTTTTTCTAGTTTAATTATCATTCAATACAGATCACTGAATATGCCTCAAATCTTTTTGGTAAGCAGGCAAGAGTATAGATTGTTAAAATGTGAAAACAGAAAATGATATCTTATGTTTTCACCCTTTTGAATTAGTTATTTTGTCTTTAGAATTCCAACAGTCTTTGTTCACCTCTCCAAGTCATTTAAAGTATTTTATGGTAATTTGCTCCCTTCTCTGATTTCCCACAGTTTATATGCTAAAGGCAGAGTCTAAATCAATCCTATTTCACATAGGTATAGGAAATTCATGGGTATCATCAATTATTAATTGAGGAACACTTCTTATTCTTCAATAGGCAGATACTCCATCAGAATAGTGATTAAAAGAATAAATTTTAGGAACAAAATTGAGGATGATAGTATTGGTTATCTTCAACTTTTTCCAGAAAACAAGTGAGCTTAACTACAGATAAAAAGGAGTGGGCTTAGAGTCAGGAATTTGAATAGAGGTTAAGCCAAAGTAATTCTTACTTTCTGTGCCATCTGCTTCCAGTTGCTTCTTTCTGGGTTTCTGTTTATATTTCATGTTTCCAAAATGCATGATGGCTCCCAGGAGTCTGTAGCATCCATACTTCTCATGTGGAAGAAAGTACAAGATGTCCACGCCTTGCTGTAAAAAGAGAAACAGATGATCCATCTTCTTTTTCCTAATGGCTGCAGTAAGCACCTACCCTACGGTGTGTCTCACCTCCCCTACTAGGATAAAACTGGCAGGAATGAGACACCACAGACCCCAGGATTGAAAGCTATGTTCAAAGAAATGCAAATAGGCCCTGTTGACAATTGATTACCAGCAATCTCCTCATCCCTTTTTTTTTTTTTTTGGTGCTTTGCCAAGGAGCTACATCTCAGTCCTTCTTATTATTTACTTTTGAGGCAAAATATTGCTTGGTTGCCGAGAGTCTTCCTACATTGGAAAGGCTGGCCTTAACCTTGTGATCCTTTATGCCTGGCTTCTCAACCCCTTTAAAAGAGACTTAGGAAGGCACAAGACTTGGCTTATTTCATTTTCAGTAATTTTAGAATTTTTCCATGAGAGCCAGGTGCAATGGTACATGCCTGTAATCCCAGTGACTCAGGAGGCTGAGGCAGAAGAATCACAAATTCAAAGCCATCCTCAGCAATTTAGCAAGGCCCTAGGTAACTTAGCAAGACCCTATCTCAAACTAAAAAAGGTGAAAAATGTGGCTCAGTGGTTAAGCACCCCTGGGTTCAATCTCTGATACAAAAATAACCCATCAGTACCATGTTCCTCTCCTCTTCCTTCTAGCAATAAATCACTAACTTGCTATATAAAATTAATTATTTTGCCTTTCACAATTATGGCAGCAAGCGCTATATATCTATTGGGTTGCTCATTCTTTGATCTCATATATTCTTCCAGAGCAGAACTCATTTCAAGGACTGGCAAAAGGAAGTGTTTAAGAAAAGCCACATCATCACAGAATTGTATCCTAAGAAGACACTGTATATCATATGATGTCATGAGCAGTATATAAATCATTACTTTGCACTATGTAAACCCCGGACAGTAAGACACTGCTTCTGGGAATGCTGTGGTGTTAAGAGTGCTAGGGGAACACCCATTTGAAGGTGACCCCTGTGGATAAGGAAAATTATTCCATGCTTGTCATGGAATTCCCTAGTTCAAAAACATTGATGTCAAATCCCAGCTACCCAGAGGTAGAAGAGATGGATGTAACTGCTAAGCCCCCACCAAGTTGTCTTCCCCAACTTGGTGGGGACTTTAAAAACTTGTGGGCATTAAAAACTTCACCCTGTTTACCTCAAGAAGTTTTTTACACTGAAACTCTTTAATGCTCATACCTATATAATAAATGCTCAGGCTTTTGTTCCATTGTTAGATCTAGTCTCTATCAGAGCTTGGATCACCCACTGGATTTTCATATCCTTCGTCTTTAGTTCTTAATATAATTCTTTTTGACTTTTATTTTCTCAAGTCGGCTCACAGTCTGCATTTAGTTAACTGTTTACATGCTATGTGGGCTGCAACAGACAATATGATGTGCATTCTTATATACTCCAGGAGGGAGAAGTTTACTAAAATCTTTTTAATGGTTAATTTAGAATATGCATCATGAGACTATAAAAAAATTCATATTCCTTGCCTAGTAATTTCACATCTAGAAGTCTAGCATAAGATGAATATGATATGCAGAAAAAGCATTTACCTACAAAGACTCACCAAAGTAGGGTATGGGGCAAAAAAGACTTGAGTCCATCAACAGGAGACCATCACAATAAACAATAGAACAAATCTCTGATAAAATATT